AGAGGCAAGCTGAAACAATGGACAGGACAAGGAGAGAGAGAGAGAGAGCGAGAGCGAGAGAGAAAATGAATATGAGAATATAGGCATGTGCCTGTTTTCTGTTGCCTAAAACAAAACAAACTTTACAGTTACACCATCCACTCAAGTTATCACATGTAACCCGCTAGTACTTTTCTAAGTAGTAGGTTGTTGGAGTTAAAGTGTTCTTTACCCTTCATATGGAGTCTATGGAGCAGAAAAAGGAGATGTATAACGAGCCAAAATAGAGGAAATCTTAGAGGGAGAACTTATGTTACTGTACCCAAGTAGAAGAAGAATAGTAGACATTTCTCAGAGAGCTGTATGAGAAAGGTCTTGTAACCAAAGGAGAGGTGCTGGGCAGCAGAAAGTTGACAGGGGCCCAAGGTCAGGAGCCTGGAGCTGGGGTACTGGTACCCAGAGGACCACAACCAGGAGAGCTGAGAGAGCCCGAGGAACAGAGCCTGTCAGCCTCAAAGCAAACTTAGGACTCATACCTTGTGAGAAGGAGAAAATCTAGAATCTTCGTGTTAACAAGGAAATCATTTTTAATCCGTTTTTATTTTTTCATTTCTTCATGGCACAAAGTTGAATGGTGATCAAAGCTGCATCCATCCATCCAAAGCGGGAAGAAGAGAGGAGAGAAACAAGGCTTACAAAAGGCCAAGTCATGGAACTCCAAAACCTTTCCTTTGTTAAAAGAGAGGAAGCAATGACTATTTGCAGAGGGTATTAATTAGAAGAGATCCAAATAATTTTCAGGATTGAATTAGCTTTCAACTGTCTTTTTTTTCTCTCCTTTTTTTAAAGTAAGCACTCGAATCAGCATTTGCCACTTCAGTAGTTTTTAACAGTAAAGGAGCATAATGCTAATGAGAATGGAGCCTGTATTTCATCCTTAAACACTATGTGGTAGCCCCTGTCACATGTTAACCCGAGTGCCCCAAGGGAGTGGATTACTTATAGGAGTTTTAGAGAAGTGACATGTCCAAAGTATATAATAGCCTGTAGAATTTGAACCCAGGGTTTTCCAGTCCCCAGTCCAGGCCCTTCCCACTTATACCAACTAGGTCCTGAAAAAGATAAATAAGAGGTCAGGAGTGTTCATGGCCCATATTTAGGACCAAAACTAGATGATGGGGGTTGCTAAGCGTTTAAAAGATGAAAAAGGCCCTCATTTACACACAGACACAGAGAAGCTGAGTGCAGTTCTAAGTCACACTGGGAAACAAGGTTACATAATATTCCCTATGTGCAGAGAATACAAGCAGCATATCTCTTTTCCAGTGCTGTTAAAACCTTTGTTTAAGGAGTATCAGCATACAACAGCCACTAACAAATGAAAGAACAACTGGAGGTGTACAATATACAAAATAGAGGCATTGCTTGCCGTGGCTCTTTCTGCTCTTTGTCTTAATGGTAGAGGCGCTGCAATGATGGCCCAGGTGCAGTTGTGTATATTGAGTTCCAGTTTCCTTCCTGCTGCAAGTGTCAGTGTCACAGGATAAATTCAGTTCAAGCTGCTCATACTTATCTCTACCTCAGAAGTTTGAAAGCTATATCAAAGGGATGGTTATATCTACAATGGTTTTTTATCCTCCTACAACATATCCAGCTGTCACTGGGAGGATTTTTCTTTGAGATTTGAGATCAGAATAGTCTAGAACTGTTTCTCTAACAAGGCATCAAGACACATGTAGGTGTTGTGATGAGTTTCAAGGTGTGACATACATACTAGAGCACTATAAGCTGCGAATGATTTCTTTTATTGATAAATCAAAGCAGATCCAAGATTATCATCTTCATCTTTTAAATTCTGATGTATTTTTATGAAGGGGAATGTGGGTGTCAAGATTTACCTACCATACTTACATTTGAAAATTTATTTTAAAGTATTCTCTGTTTCTTATCACAATTAAAATTTCTCGTAAGACAAGCACCACTGGATATCTGGGAGTAAAAACACTTAACATTTTAGTCAAAGATATTTTAGGGTTTATTTTTTCCAGTTTGAGTCTCTTTTCATTTAAAATAGTCCTGGCAAGTATTGGAGAGGGGGCAATGCTGGGACATGAGCAGGAATGTGCGCATATCTACCCAATTATGCATAGGGGGAGCTTTTAAACTATGAGTCCTTTCACCGAAAAGAGGCTTAAGGCCATGCTGATGGGAGTGCATTGAGGATGTGCACATTCCTATAAAGAAAAAGATGTTGAAAAGGACTGAGCTGAAACTTTAGTTGCTAATTCTGGAAAGACCTGGGAGCAAAGTAAAGCTCTGGGGTTCACTCATGTTAGGATGCTTCCTCGGTAAGGGAGTCAAATCCACACTTCCACGTCAAGGAAGAATACTGCTGGGCAGCAAAATCCGTAATGGCGTTGTTTCAAACCTTAAATCTTTAAGATCTCTTCCTTTCCGATTCCAGCCCCACAGCATGATTATTCTACTTTTGAAGTTATTTAAAAACATTTTCCCCCTATAGCTGTGTTTTTTTTAGGAAGTTTTTAGCATCCTTGAGTAATGTTAACTAGGGCATTTGAAGGTCTTAATTATCTTAGGAAAAAAACAGGCAAGGTTCTAAGGGTGTCTGGGCTTTCCCCTATTCAAAGCTACCCTCAGTAAAAGATTCAACCCAAGATGCAACTGATGGGGCTTAAAATGCTAATTCTTCCAGGAGTAATTTTTGTATTTGTTAATTTACAAATTACAAAGTTATAAGCTCCTTGGATCTCTAATTACTCAGTTTTATAACTAAGAAATAATCACTTCATTTTAAGATTGAAGGGGTATCTCAGGGCCTCTGAAAGTATACATTGTTCTGCCTCTCACTTCAGATGGTTGGGAATTGTGCAACTGAGTACTTGCTGCCCAATTGAAAGAAATGTAAAATTAAGAGTAGCCCTAACTGGTTTGGCTCAGTGGATAGAGCGTTGGCCTGCGGACTCAAGGGTCCCAGGTTCGATTCCGGTCAAGGGCATGTACCTTGGTTGCGGGCACATCCCCATTGGGGGGTGTGCAGGAGGCAGCTGAATTGATGTTTCTCTCTCATCGATGTTTCTGGCTCTCTATCCCTCTCCCTTCCTCTCTGTAAAAAATCAATAAAATGTATTAAAAAAATTTAAAAAAATAAATAAAAAAGAGTAAATTTCCTTATTTTCATGCCTTCTTGGTAATTTAAAAAGCATGTTGGAAAAAGTACTGTCTTAACCATGTAAAAATTACTAATGGCACTACAAAGAAAAGGTGCCGGTTTTCACGTTTCTATTAGAACCTGAATGTCCACAGGGCGTGGCTGATGCCCAGGTCTGTAACTCAGGTGTGACCATGGTGGTCCACAGTAATTAACAAACGTAAGAAGCTTAACCTCCCTGAAGCTTAACCAAAGTAGTACAGCTCTTATCCCAGTGGTTGAAAGAAAACACACAATCATATTCATTGGCCCCATTTTTAATTTATAAGGCTCTCCCACTCTCCAAGAGAACATTTTACACTTTCTCACTCAAACCTCCAATTTAGTCCTCACATATTTTTCACTCTTTTCTCCCTTCTCTCCCCCAACCTTCTCAGCTCTCAGCACAGGAGTATATGTATTTTTTAATTTTGGAAAATGTAGTTATTTTTAAGACAATATTATGCTAAAATATAACAAGTTTCTTATTGTTCTATTTTAAGTTATTAAAATACATTTTTTTTCTTTAGCATATTTTTGTTGATTTCAGAGAGGAAGGGAGAGGGAAAGAGATATAGAAACATCAATGATGAGAGAGAGTCATCGATTGGCTGCCTCCTGCACACCCCCACTGGAGGTTGAGCCTGAAACCTAGGCATGTGCCCTGACTGGGAATCAAACCATGACCTCTTGGTTCATGGGTCAGTGCTCAACCACTGAACCACACCGGCCAGGCTAAGTTATTAAAATACTTCTTAAAAATCTGTTTTAATCTCCAGTATAGTAGTGTGTGTAGCTATTTGGGAGAGGCAGACACTAAGACCTTTCTTTCTAGTATATGACTTCTAAAACTTCAGTTCACTGTGATTAAAAGTGTCAATCATTGACCTAGAAAGGGGAATACTCCTAATTTTTTAATATCCTAAAGTAAATGGCTACTCTTTTAAATATAGAGATCAAGTGGTGCCCAACTAGGATTCCTTAATGGCAAGCAACAGAAAACTAACTCTGGATAACTTAATAGAAAAGGAAATTTAGTGGCTCATATAGTAAGAAATCTCAAAGGCCAAACTAGTTTATGCATAACTGAATCCAGTGGATTACATTATGTCACCAGTACTCATTCTTCACCCCTCAGAAAAAAAATTTTTTTTCTATTTTGCCTCTATTTTCAGTTAAGTAGTTCCCATATGGTATCAAAATTGGACACTGGTAGTGGCATATTCTATTCTTTTTCTGATCTCACAATTTCAGAGAAAAAGGAAATACCTATTTTTTTATTATTTGAGCAAAATTTCTAGGGAAGACCCTGATTGGGATGACTTGGGTCTGGTGGATATCCATGACCCAATCACTATGGCCAGGAAACAGTACTCTGATTGGTCAGGCTGCTGTATGTGGCCACTGCTGAGTGAAAAAGGCAGGTGAAGTGATTGACAGCTCCAGTGGGCTTGAGACAGGGATTCATAAAAGAAAGGGAGAGAAAGAGAAGGAATAGGTTGACGTGAACTTTTGCCTTAATGGTGATAGCAATGACTTTTGATAGGAAACGGGGCATGCAAGGGGTCTGGTAAGTTGTGACCCGTATTTGTAACTAGTTCTACTTTATGATAAAGCAGAGAGGAAAGACATGGGGAAAGACAAGGAGGGTGGGAGTGAAGGAGACACAAGAAAAAAGCTTAGGAATGCGCCTCTGCCAATTACCTGATTCACCAAGGCAGTGAGTGATTGCTGTTTCTGATTCTCTGCTATAATTAAGACATTTCTAAAGTGGGAGTTTCTTTCAGTTTCTCTCTTTCATTTTGCCTTTTAGGTGGACAAAAAAATCGTAAGAACTGAGATAGGAGTTCTTCTTCGCCTCTCACATCCAAACATTGTAAGTGATTTTTTAACTACTATTTCAAATTGTCTCTAAAGTAATAGAATGGGATTTTTGTTTTTTACTGTCCATGCTGATCATGGAAAAGGGATTCACCTACCACCCGTAAACAGCCACAGGTTCTTGTCCTCATCTGACCACAATTTTCAATTCTTTTAGCCGAATGAATCTTAAATATAGTGCCTTTTCAAAGAGTTTAAAAATGGAAAGGTCAGCAATATATACCCTCTTTATTTTTATGCATTAAAGGATAGCTAAAATTTGGATAGCTTTGTCTCGCGCTAATAAAGCAATGTCTTTTTCCTTCTGTGTGTCCATCTTATTAATACACCATTACTGAAAAAGCCTGTGAAGAAAATGCATTGCTTTCAAAAGTCATTTCAGCCTCCTCAGAGGGAGTGTCTGCTTCAGAAACAATGTGAAAGTTCAAATAAATGCTGTGCTTGAATGGGGAAAACAAAAGGTTTTCGGAAGCTGTGCTTTAGGCTGTGTCCAAAGGCATGAGGGCAAGGTCTGGAGAAAAGCTTTCTCCAGCCAGTGAAGTGAAAAGAACAAAGTCAGTTTCCAGGCCATCACTTGTTTTTATGAGTTGAGCCAACTACTTAAAGAAAGTATTTTACTCATTTCTCTGGGAAAGTTGCATCCAGGAGGGTGGCCTGCAATGCTTAGGCTCAAAGCCAAGTGCTTAAAACTTAATATATGAGTTAGCAGTGTTATTTATTCAGCTATAAATAACAGAAAACTTGAATATATTGGTCTAAACCAGTGGTTCTCAACCTTCTGGCCCTTTAAATACAGTTCCTCTTGTTGTAACCCAACCATAAAATTTTTTCATTGCTACTTCATAACTGTAATGTTGCTACTCTTATGAATTGTAATGTAAATATCTGATATGCAGGATGGTCTTAGGCAACCCCTGTGAAAGGGTCGTTTGATCGCCAAAGGGGTCGCGACCCACAGGTTGAGAACCGCTGGAGATGTTTTCCTTAAGTTATAAGAGATCAGAAGGCAGGCCATTCCTAGCATTGGTTCAGCCCCTCAGTGATGTCATGCAAAACCCAGATGCCTACTATCCATTGGTTCTGTCACCCTCAGTGCCTTTGCTTTCATGCTTTTCCCTCATGGTCTTCAAATGGCTGTTCCATATACTTCTCACGCCTTCAGGTCTGTATTCAAGACAGAATAAAGTGGAAAGTCCCCAAAGCAGAGTCCTATGAGAAGAGTAAAAGTTTTTTCAGAATTTCCAGTTACAGCAAAATTCTCTTCAGATTTTATTGGTCAGAGCTGGTCACAGGAGCAGCCTTAACTTCATAGAGCCTGGAAAAATGGGGAGCAGGGTTATCATAAGTGGCTCAGACCAATTACCATCCATATTTGGAGGCTACGCACCATTCTTCCCTAAACAAATTCAAAGTTCTGTTTGCAATAACATAGGGGGAGAAGGGCTTTGTGTAGGCAATCAATGAAATGTGCCACATACAATCATCAACTTTTCATTGTCCATTTTTTTTCTTTCCAAGAGAAGTCAATGTAGAATTTTCCTCAAATGTAGATCAGTCCTGTCACTAGATTCTCAGATGTATTCAGGAAAATATCCAAAATTAGATGGATTATCTGAATGTGTTGGAAACCCTGTTATGGTCAATCAAATCATTGCCACTCTACATTTCTGAGGATTCCTTCATCTACTAGTGACTTTTTAGCAGTTGAGGTTCCTACTTTCCACAAAGACATACTTTCCCCTGGTCCTATTCTGTCTCAGACCCAGATTCCAAGTTCCTTCCTGGAAGAAGATGAATTTGCATTTCCAGCATCCATGATGCTTTCCAATGGCTTAAGAAGTTTTGTTTGTTTGCTTTTATTTTTAAACTAGAGGCCCAGTGCACAAATTTGTGCATGGGTGGGGTCCCTCCGCCTGGCCGGTGATTGGGTCCAATCGAGGCCATGGGAGGTTGGCCCAATAGGGGGAGGGGCTGCAGGAGGTTGGCCAGCCAGGGGGAGGGACCACGGGAGGTTGGCTGTGGGAGCGCACTGACCACCAGTGGGTAAGTCCTGCATGGAGCATCTGCCCCTTGGTGGTCAGTGCACACCATAGCGACCAGTCAACTGGTTGTTTGGTGGTTTGGTCGCTTAGGCTTTTATGTGTATAGATTCTGCAGCAATCCAGAAACCGAGATATTTTGATAAAAATTAGAAAGTGTTTCTAAGGCAGGTATCTTTCATCTGTCAAAAGGAATAATATCAAAACTCAAAAGGACCCTTGAAGAAATGAGGTCACTGATAATAACAACCAGAGAGTGACAAACGGCTCCCTGATACTGGCATATGGACCTTTCATTGACAATGATCCAACACATTACTGTTAGAGTTTTGTTTTAGCCATAGCTTTAGCTATTTCTTAGAAAGGTGAAAATAAGGAATGTGTGATCATTTTTTATATCTTTCTCCAGATAAAACTCAAAGAGATATTTGAAACCCCTACGGAAATCAGTCTGGTCCTGGAACTTGTCACAGGAGGAGAGCTGTTTGACAGGTGAGTTGGTTCTGGAAATCCAACCACAGAAAGGCTTTGCTTCTAGTCACCAAAAAAGAATTAAAGGGAAATTTCTCCTGAAATTTTTTATAAGGACACATCATACTAGTTAATAAATTCTACTAAAATAAATCTTAAGAGGAGTGTAGAACAAAAGGAGAGTCATACCTGATAAGATGTAAGTGGATGAAAAGTTGGGATGTTTAGTGAATAAAAAGGGAAGCATTATATCTATTTACTTTTGCAAAAATTTACTTCCCCAATAAACACAGAATTTCTAAAGTCATACTAAATCTAAACTAAACAGTAAGATTGATGACAATATTTTGTAAGAAAACATTAGAAAAAAGTATAGAAAGTTAGATGTGTTATAATCGTATTCTTTATTATGATCCAAAAGCTCTTAAAAATCAATACTCTTCAAATGACTATTTTGAGGCCTACTTTCTCTATTAGGCTCTGTAAAGAGTTCCAAGTTGCAGAGTACAACATGTACTTCAATAATAACCAATTTTAGTTGTCTGTTCATATGTTCATCACTCAAGACAGAGGTTTGAGGATGGCTGGGAGTGTGCCTAGAAAACTGGTAGAAAACTGGTAGCATAATAATATAGACAAACTGTTTGTCTAAGAGACACAAGCTTCAAGTCTCCATGGCTTTCCCACCTTCCTCATCTTCTCAGGAGAATTCCCTGTTTACCCTGATTATCTCTTAGGACCCCTTTGCTATGTTCATTGGCATAATAAAAAAATAATGAAATTGGAAGAAGTCAAAGGACTGAGTAGGTATATATTAGAAATGGTTAGAAGTTATGCACAGATGTAAAGGTCCTGTTGATTTATAAAATTGGTTAAGAAGATGTGGGCTGTAGACAGAAGACAGAAAAGAGATTGAGGGAACTGCTGATGTATCCATGTGCCTAAAGCACAGCAAATTCTCAGTAAATATTTGCTAAATGAATGAATGAACGAATGAACAACCATTAAGATGAGTGGACTCTGAGAAGGAAGATACTTAAAGGGGATAGGTTTAGCCTTAGATGGTTTGGCTCAGTGGATAGAGCATCAGCCTGCGGACTGGAAGGTTCCAGGTTCAATTCTTGCCAGGGCACATGCCCGGGTTTTGGTTTTGATCCCCAGTAGGGGGCATGCAAGAGAAGCAGATCAATGATTCTCATCATTGATGTTTATCTCGCTCTCTCTCCCTCTCCCTTCCTTTCTGAAATCAATAAAGAAATATTTTTTAAAAATAATTTAAAAATAAAGGGGATAAGTTTAGATTGTGTTGGGCGAGGAAGCACTTCTCTCAAGAGCTTCTAAAAGTAATTATATTGGTTTTCAAAGGTTCTGTTTTAAATGTTATCCAGTGAAGGTTTGGATCATTAAGTAGGAAGGAGCATAATGGCACAGCTTGATTGGAGCTACATGTATATCTTCAACAGATACATAATTTGTTCATTACATATGTTGAAGTTTCCTTAAAATAAGTGCTATGAATGAGCAGACTTTGAGAGTTGTCACATTTTCAGTATATTCATTCATCACCAATAAATGAATCAACTGAGGGAAGTAGGCATCAGTTTTTAAATATATACTTCTTGTGGCAGTTGGCTAGTAGCTATACTTAAGGGACCAATAACTAACTAACCTGATTTGCTTAACTTCTCCGAACCTCAGAACAAATTTGATGCAGTTCTCTGATGCTGAGACACTCTGTTCCACTCAGTCTCGGATCTGACAGTCTGATCACTCTGATTATATCAGGAAAGTCCTGTTCTAAAACCACCATGTTCCCACGCTTAGTCAAGACTCATCTGGACTAGCTTATTTGAATGTTGCCAAAATTTGCCAATAGTGGCTCCTTTTTTAATACCTCTTTAGCCAACTCTTTCATGAACATATTCCTTCTTTAGGTACATTTAGAGTCTATGTATAGTTAAATCCTGCTGGCTTTGTAGCCATGAGGTCTCTTGAAGGAGAACTTAGAGAGAAATCTCATGTTCTTTAATTGTAAATAATTGCAGGACAGGGATGTCACACTGAAGCTATTGTCTACCAACAGCACATATTATTTACCTACCTACCTCTCTTTGTACAAGTTATTTTGGAGTCATGAGTCTCTTTCCTTCCTTATTTCCCAACCTTTTTTTCATGAAATAATTCTGGTTCTCTCATCTTGTAGTCTAGTTGATTTTGATGGGATAGAGTTAATTCAGCTTTAAACAAAAATGAAAAAGACCTGAATGCTGGTGATAAATTTCATTTACAGAGAAAATTGATGAAATATTCAGAATTAACAGAATACATCTAAAGAATGGCAGACAGCCAGTAAAGCACTCAACTGCTCTATAAACTCTCAGTGGTCTTAGACAGTAGACTGTCTTTCCCCGTTAATATTGTTGTCTACATGTCTGTTGCCATATCTGAGATGAACTTGGTTTCTCCATTATATTACTTAATTCTGCAGTTATCTTTAAAATTGTATCAAGCTGAAAACATATCATTTATTATTATCTATGCATTGTTTTCTTTCTTGAGAGTTAAAAATCATAATATACTTTCTTTTTCCTTACTCAAGTCAAAAACGAAATTTATTTAATTGTGATGATAAAAATTCATCCCTGGTCTAATGATGGCCTTAATTGTATCTAATGAATGCACTAATGGAGCAATTGATGAAAAGATAATCATGTTAGTACATTATGGGCAAAATGGTTGTATTTTATTAGCAATAAAAGATCTATTTTATGGTGCTTCTAAAAAACTAAACTTAGTAAAAATCCAAGTGAAATTTTCCATTTCATGTAGAATATAAGCAGTAAATTGCATAGGAAGATTGATTAACATTTTTGGAATAAAATCAGTGATTTCGTGTGTACGTCCAAGAAAATCTGGCCCCCAAAAAGACTTCTACAAAATTATGGTATAATGTGAAAAAGAAAGCTGCAGAGGTTTTGGTCTTCCATCCTGCTTGGGCTAGTCACGACTCTTAGAAATTTATTGAACATTATAAATAAATAAATTAACTAATTAATAAAATAAAAGAATAAATAAATGAGAAGGGACTAACAATATATACAGATAAGAACTGGCACAGAAAAGACATATAATACGATGCTTTGTATTTGCTAGAGGTTGGCCACGGATTTGGCTATAAGGATTCACATGATAAATGCCGTGATTGGGAAATAAACGGTACACGGGATACTAAATATGGGAGTCTTCTAAATCAGAAATGGCTTCAGGGAGGAATAGAGTCTTTGAGCTGAATCCTAAGTGAGAAATCATAAGTCAGCAGGCAAAGGGAAGAGGGAAGGACAAAGTGATGTCCCAAAGCAGGTTGCGCTAGTGGGGGATAGATAGAGAACCTTAGTCTCCATTTTAGAAGCTGTTTGAGACAGGAAGCAAGAAGCTGCTGGATATTTGTCAAATGAGAGATTCAATAAACAGTGGACTCTTGGGCAATTTATATAACGTCTTTGGGTCAGGCTTTTATTGTATAGTAGGAGAGAATTGAACTAGAAATCCCTGGTCTCTGTTCCCAGGTCTACAATTGGATCTGGCCTTCCCTTTGTCCTGCACTGTCAGCTCCTGGCCAGCACCCACATTGACCCACAGTCTCCTCACTCTCTCCCTACCTTTCAAATTTAACAGGTGGTAATAATACCTTTGAAATTATTTTTTAAATATATGAATTTAATACTCTTTGGGAAAGTTCTTAGAAAAAGCATCAATACAGACCAATGGGCCATCGATGAAATGAGGAAAAGCAGTGAATGAAGCTCATAAAGGAGTGGTGGATTTAATTGGAAACAGTGGAATTCATTTTAGTGATGTAATTTTTTTTTGTATGTAACAGCATAATGATGTACTAGCAGTCTTTAAGACTTAGTTCCTAAAACTCATATTATTTGGGGATTTTACCATTTTTCATTCAGTCTTTTAGTACACATTTTCATAAGAGCGATGTCTTTCTCACATTAACCTACAGTCATCTAATCACAATAACATCGCCATTTGAAAAAAAGCCGCCATTGGTGGAGAAGGCAGTAGGCTCCCAATGTACGTGCCAGGAAGTCTGAGGCCTCTGGATATGATCAGATTAGAGCTCTTCAGCTGCACTGCCTGTGCTAACTGCCCAGCTGGAGATGTGCTCAATTCAATTTGCAGCAATTAAGGTGACAGAACAAATGCACAGAAGTCGTATTTTAAAGCAGATCCATGGAGAGAAAGAGGCATTGCCTGTGTTTTCTCCTACAATTTTAAAATGATGAGAAGGAAAACATCCCAATTGTGGGGAAGAGTAGCATATGAACTAACACAGCAAACAGTGGAAAGAAAAGGCACAGCCTGAAGTAGAAGGCCTGTTGGGGCCACAGAGTCACAGCCTGGAGCCCAGGGAAACACACCTTGTTGTGCTGCTTTCCCAGATCTCCAGATGTCGGCTAGACGAGTTAGCGACTCAGGGACCTGAAAACACTGGGATCCCAAGGCAGCCTTTTGGGTCAGATTTGTTATTAAAATCCTAGGAAAGATTTTGCTTTTATCACTGAGTCTTCTAACCCAGACCACATGGAACTATGGGAAATTGTGTGGCATAGCAACAAACTACATGGCCCTGGGCCTTTGAAAATGATCTTAAGATGCTGGTGGCATTGTAACTGCCTTCTTGTTATTTTACAAAGCATGACCTAGTTTATTAAATATGAAGAGAAATACAGCAATATGTATGTTTAAATATAAAAACAAAAATAACCATAATTATCCTCCTGTTTTTACAGCTCTAAAAACGCTATCATGATTGAACATTTTATTGCTTCTAAAAATTGAAGTCCTGGTATTTTCTGTGTAAAGCTATAAACTCTTTACTGTATATGCATGTTCAATTCATGGGAAACTAAGAAAAATTTTTTTCAGCTAAATTTTAGGTAGGAATTTGTGTTGTTTCATGGAACAAAATTACTCTATTTTAATAAATTTGAATCATTTTGATTTTGCTCAAAATACGATTCTAAAAAGGTTTATGTATTACAATGATATCTAGAAACTATGTGACTCTGACTTTCTTCCTAAGGCCAGTGTAACCCTTCCACCTATTGCATTTTGCCTTGGGAAGCATCTATATGATGGTTCTCCCCTGGATCCCTGGCCCGTGTACTTGCCTGTTCAGTGCTTTTGTTCCCTATGTTAAGGAACATAGGCAAAGGAGTTGTCCAAATGTCTGCAGTATGAAATTTTTCTGGCATCATTTACTTGGTAATTAATACTGATTCCATGAACATGTATTGATTGCCTACTATGAGTAAATCTTGGAGCTAGGCTCTCTGGGTGATCAAAGCAACAATCTAGTGAAAAACTAAGACGTTTGCCACCATACCTGTCGAAGGCACTGGCTCAACACATCTACTGTAGTCATGCTACCTAAATGGAAAGATAAAGATTACAGAACTTCATTTTTCTTTGCTTGGTCACTAGTATCTTCACTTACCATCTTCGTTCTGAGTGATAAACCTGCATTTGCACCTTGAAAAGTTCATGCTATTGATTTTTCTAGTCAGTCATGGATGGCCTTGGTGGTAGCTCAACTTATAAAATATTTAAAATTGAATATCTGAGTTCCAGGAACCTAACTCTGTGACACTCTGATGAACAATCAACTTGGGAACAAAGTTCCTTTTAGGAGAAGGAGCCTGGAAGAGAAACAATTGCATTCTGATGGTAGGGCCAAGCTATGGTGTGCAGAATTCACACTGAGGTGAGGCAGGGAAGGTGCCTGCATTTTGTGCTCCTGCCCCACATGTTACTCTAGAGACATTTCTGACAACAGAATTAATAAACCCTTCATCTGTACAAACCGTAATATAGCATGAATTGCATCTATGATAATGTTTTTGTTAATAACTTCTCCACTATGTGTGGTCTCATCTGAGGCTTGCAGGTGGAGTGCACAGAGGAGACACTAATTACATTTGTGTTGGGTGGTGGATGTCCCACAGAATCCATATTTAGAGCAAAATGCAGTGGTTGATATAATGGTAGCCAAAGTTTTAAACTTTCTCTGATGCAGCAGTCCTTTTCTCCTTCTCTTGTACTTAATTTTAAAATGTTCAGAAAGTATAGTTCAAGAAATTATTTCAATTACATTTTTAGTAGGTAGACTATGAACTCAAACATGAATTCAAGAAAAATGTGTATTCTTGGAAGGAAATATCAGATGAAAATTGATTTTCAAGAACCAATTAATAATAGTCCCCCAAATATTTTAATGTATTTTCACATTTTATTTGATCCTATTGCATAACAGTTATCTAAGAAACAGAAAAGGGAGAAAAATATTCCATCTTCTATCCTTTGAAAAGATGAGTTTGTGTTTCTTGACAATATTCTAAATAATTGAATGGAGAAAATAAAATAATTGGATTTTCTGTATCAATATAGTTTTCCTGAATCTTGACAATTATGATCATTGGGGTATCTTCTTTTATTTTTGTCATAATGTTGAGTTCTGTATTTCTCACCCTTAACCCCCTATTGTGAAAACATTTTATAGATTTTAAATTCAACTTTTAACACCAGCTACTTCGAGAACTTACAACTTCTTGCTAATTTCTTTTTCAAAAAGGAAGATACTTTATGAAAAATAACTATACTGTTTGAGGAATCAATGATCTAAAACAAATTTTAATCCAAAATTATGAAAATTGGTTGTTTTGTCTCTTTTATGTTTTGAGTTGATCTTTTTCACGTCTTTACTACAAACTTTTTATTAGCTAATAACATTTTATGCAAGTTGCTAATCTACAATGCCATCTCCAAAATGTGTTTTCTCTTGAAATTCTGGTAAGATAAAAAGTAATTTAAGAATAGACAGAGAAACTAGGACAGAAAAAACAAAAACTCACAGACAACATAACAAAACCAGGTGACAAGGTATCCCCATGAAGCCTAACATACAAGTGAATGAGGAAGAAATGACAAGTCCAAGAGCCACCTGGTGTTAGCATCTATGTAAGAGGAAGCAAAGGTTAACAAGAGGTCATGTGACCTAAGAGTGGCAGAACTCTCAAATTTCTAAAATCTCCAAATTATTGGGAAGCAGGATGGGCCAATACAAGGAAAGCAGCTGAAATCCATTTTGCCATTCGAATTTCTGAGAAGTGTAAAGGCTGGATCCACATAAGGTCTGAAGTGACTAATGCATTCAAAGGCCCTGTGAACTCCTGAAATTAATACCTGACTCCCCTTAATAAAAAGCCCAATATTTAGGAGAAACTGCTAGGGAGAAACTCCAATAATCAGAGTAGAGATGGTAGAGGCAAGGGAATGAAGTTCCAGATAGAGGAGATCTCAGAAAGTATGAGATCATACTTTTAATGCTTCATGAAAAACCAAAACCAAAACACAAAACACAGAGGTCAAAAGCCATGAAGCTAGAAAAGATAGCCTGGCCCGTCTCTCTGTCAAAAGGGTGAAGGGGAAAAGGAGATACAAACCTCCAGTTGCAAAAAATAAAGTAAGTCATGGGGATGTAATGTACAGTGTGGGGACAATAGTCGGTACCATCGTATTAACTTTGCACAGTGACAGATGGTTACTAGACTTGTGGTGATCACATTGTAAGGAATATAAAAGTCAAATCACTATGTTGTACACCTGAAACTAATAAAATATTGTTTGTTAACTACAATTTTAAAAAAGCAAACCAATTTGGCTTGAACATAAACAGCAACAAAGAGGTGTCTCATTTAATTCCAATATAAAATGATTATAAGAGCACAGAAAATAAGAAGCAGAAAAAGTTTCCTTTAGGCAGTGAAAGCATGCCAGGAGGATGTGTCCATGGTATGGCTAAAACTATAGCTCAATATTGCAAAATAAACTAAAATTAAGAAAATTATAGAAGAACCATGTAAATCAAAAGTTGAAAAACATTTATATGTGTATAAATGCACAACCCAACGAAGAAAACCAAAGTAATGGAAGAAAATAAATTTAAAACATTCCTGAAAGTACAGAGATGGTTGATGTCATATTGTCAACTTGGTATATGCTTATAATGATTCACAATACAAAGTTTAAAAAAAAATTTGTCCTATTTATTTTTATAATGTTAATAGAAAATGAATGTCTTTTATTTTCTTAAATAAACCCACAGATTTCTGAAGTGCCAGTTTATGGAAATCTTTTTCCTAGTGTTAGGGTAGCCTGTTGTAATTATTTGGATGCATCCTCTTTAACAGTAATATAACTAACTTCTTTTAGCATCCACTCAGCTGAGCGCATGTGTGTTTTTTAGGATTGTGGAAAAGGGATATTACAGTGAACGAGATGCTGCAGATGCTGTTAAACAAATCCTGGAGGCCGTTGCTGTAAGTATGAAGTGACAGCTGTAGTGCAACTCCTGGTAATATCTTCCTTCCTTTTCTAGAATCTTATTGAAGAGGTATGTATCTGTGACAAGCCATAAAATTTACAGCAAAACCACGTGAAATATTTGTGAGAAAATATGTTCAATAAATTTATATTTTCTATTGATAACTTAAACTCTTAAAGATGCGGCCCATCATGTAATGCCATACGTTCGTTGAAATATTTTCTATTCTATTGTTATGAAATCACGTCAGACTTTGGTGCCTAGAGTTGTTATTTTCTTTCTCTCTCTCTTTTCAATTTATTTTTGTTTCTTGAGTTTGTTCCTTTATTGTTTTTGTTGTTGGTTAGGAAAGTAGAAGAAGGTTGAATGTGATAAATATAGACCTTGGAGCATAGAGATTATTGATTTTTCTTTCAAGACAAAGAATGAGTGAATTAGAAGGAAAAATACTGACAATTTTGTTGAAGTGAGAAATAGAAGTTAATATTTTAAAGTGGAATAAAGTTTTATAAGTTAATGATGGAAACATGCACACACATTTACGAAATATAGATTTTTGAAAAGCTTGTTTGGATTGAATTAATAAGGAAATATTTGAGATAAAACTAACTCCACTGGTAAGGAAAATTTCCCATATGTTAAATGGTATCTAATACATGCTAAGACACTTTGGTGACTCATTTATTGAATATAAAGCAAGAACAAATTCTTCTCTGAACAAACAGGATGGGGCTCAAGGGGAGATATTGATCAGGATCAGTTAGAGACAGATCTATATAAAATATACCCCAAATTAAGATCTTTTCTGTTTTTCAGTCAGTTATCCAATTAAAATCATTATTCAGTATCTTGAGAAATCAGCCACAGCGACTCAAGCACACATCTTGTGAATTTCACCTACAACCAAAATGGGAAGGAGGAGGCAGGAAAGGCAGAGAGGAAGGACAGAAAGACCCTGGAATCTAAGTAACTTCTATACCAATGACAAAGGCAAAAACAGCCTTCACTGTCTTTGCATAGGGCTGCTAGAAAGAGGGGATCTCTGGTCTAACCAAATCCATTATTGAGTTATCAAAACCAAGTTCAACCGGCTTTATAGCCCAGTCTTTCCAAATTATCACTTCCTATAAAAGTGTTTTGGTCTTTTGCTCTGGTGGGAGATAAAAAGTTTGAATTGAGGGTGGATAAAAGCTGGAGATGATGCCATAGAATTGTACTCTCTAAATACACAATACAGCTCCTGATTATGTGAATATTGAATATCAGATTCACCTTTTCACCATACCCAAAAGAATCACTTCATTCCATTTTTTTTAATCAATCATAGTATACTTACCACCCCTGGTTTGCCAACTAAGGAATGATTTTTTAACTCTCCCATTACCTTAGCTCCTCACCTTCACCTTCCCAGCTTCGGATGAATTTTCCTTCAAATTGTCCATGAACCTAATCCTGCCTCATATCATGCTATGACTATTACTGGCATGCCTTTTCAAAAACAAACAAACAAACAAAATCACTTCTACTTCCTTCCAGTTCTTTAATTAAAGAAGTCTAGAATCCTCTTTTGCAATCATTGTTGTTACTTTGTCACTTCTGAATTCGATAATGGCAGTCTTATGCCTTTATTAAATACTAATTTTAAAACTTCATTTTTCATTACTATATACTATAGATTATCTGTTCAAGTAAACTTGCTGGCAGCGGTACACTATCACTTTGCCAAACTCTGGCCGGCAGCTGGTGTGGCAGTTAAGAGTAGTTTGGGAGTCAAATAGAGATGGTTCAGTTTCTAGATGCGAGCTTGGGCCCCTCACTAAACACCTCTGTGCTCAGTTCCTTCATGTAAAATAGGCATAGCATTCCACTTACCAGGGTTGTGGAAAAGACTAATGAGGTAGGTATGGAAGCCATAGCAATGTTCAAAAGAGAGGGAAAAGAAAATAGGCCACTTCAGAGTCAGTACATTCATCTAAAGATGTATTAAATGTTGTTATTCTGTATATACATACCTACTTTCCAGCTAAGTACTAAAAAAACACACACACACAAAAACAATAAGTGCTTAATAAATATTTACTGAATAAATAAATGAAAACAGTTCAAAATAGAAATAGGCATGATCCTATATTTTATCTCTCTAGAGGATGGCACATTTACTGAAACATCCTTTTCATTTTTCTACTCATTATCATATGAAACAAAGCTAAATAATTTGCTTCCATTCATCAGATTATTTTCTGCTCCCTTACAATCAATTAATTATCTTCCTGCCATTCTAAACTCACCTTTTTCAGTATGTTCTTTCTGGTTTCCTCCACCCATTCAGATCAACTCTTGATTCTTCTGGCTTATCAGAATGGGCATGTTTCAATTTAGTTATACCTTGAGTAGCTGACTGGGAGAACATTCTTCTCATTCAATGAATGAGAAATGGATGCTTTGAGCATCAAGATTTTCCACCTATTGGAGTTACCAATTAATAAATAAAAGGTCCCCCAACTGGGATGCCCCAGGGGGGTGTCCTACATAGAACAGAGGGACTAGAGTTCCTAGAAATCTATTCCAGGTCTGCAAAGATAGACTGTTACTTATAAATTTAAAACAAAAATTGTAATTTTACCTACTCACAAAACTGCACCAAGCTCCAGTTTAAGAAGTAGTTACCACATTCAAGTAAAACATTCATTGAAAGATGTCTTATACAAAATCAAATTTTCTCTGATTGCTGTAACTAAGGGTTAAGTTAGAGAAAAACTTAAAGTCATTTCTCTAAGTGTTTCACAGGTAGAAAGCAAGCAATTTAACTTGTGAGAAGTGTTTGACATTTATAAAATAGTTTATTGTTAACTACATAGCTATAGATAGCTATAAAAAATAGGACAGTTGGGAACTCAGAGTAATCAGTGATATGTCTCACACTGCCTCTGGATCACACACTTATAAGGCTGGTTTTTGAAAGCACAGAAGCTGAAAACTTAAAGATTGAAATATCCCTGGGAAATATGTTGCAGGCATAATTATATCCCTTAGGTAACAGTCTTGCAATCCTTTTCTTCCTTCCTACTTCATCCAGATTCTTACCCCAAATATTTCACAGTATTAATTGACTGTGTTCTTGCTTCTTTGGCTTTTTAGCTTTAAATAGCATTTCTGAAACTTTTTAAAGTAAATTTGGAAGATATTTCCCCCTAACTAATTCATTCAATTAGTCTTTGAGGTAAGGTCCTTAATCCTTCTTGAGTGTTCTATCTTCCTGAAATGAATTCCAGGTGGTCCCAAGTTAAAGTGCCTAGGCCAATGCAGGCATTCTGGAAGGGTCATTGTGTCCTCATGGGTCATGAAGCGACCCAGGGAATATCCCATCTCCTCCGACATCTCTTACTGTTACCATACATCCAGTCCTTTCCTTATCACCACTGATAGCTTACTGTTTCTCTATTTCCAAAAAAAAAAAATCCCTCTTTTTCCCACCCCTACTGCCACCTTCCCTCTTTTTCTAGCTATATTTGTCTTGGGTGTGTTTTAACTTCAAAACCAGGACTTAAGAGCCTGGAGGAATTTGTACACAGAGAGTATACCCTGAATTTAATAAAATACAAGGAAATGGTTGAAAATGATTAAATATGTCTGCTATGCCAGCACAGATATTTTTGGTTAGAATTGTTTTTAAAAATTGTAATGATGTGGGTGAAGAATTGCAAACAAAACCATCTAGTCCTTTAAAGTTAGGGAAACCCATATGGTATCTGAACAATGAAGAAAAATGGTAAATGAACAAGATTACAGGGATGCAGAAAAAGGATTAAATAGTACAGGCTGCTTTTGGTGAAACATTTAAAAACCTGTAACCACCCCCTCAAAAAAAGAACAGACTTAACCTATTAGAGAATCAATTGATAAAGAATCGATGACTAGGTATTGAAGACCTGGAAAGGCGAAGGGGGTCACTGAAATAAGGGATTGTGGGGCTTCAGGAGGCAGCCTCCCCTTGGGCTGGAGAAACAGGGAAGAAGCTGAGATGATTAAAACCTGTCAGACTAAGGGAAGTGCTCTATAGACTCGCTGCTTGTCTGGTGCTAGTATCTCATTCTGAGCTCAGAGGAATTGCCCACGAAGCTGCCACTCAAATCTTTGAAAATGGTGTCCTAGCCAGCCAGTGCGAATGTCGCTGAGGAGGGACACTGGGATTGGTTCTATGAGCACTGGAATAACTAAAAACTGGTATCAACATCTGCTACAGAATGATGTGCTACTGCAGCATGAAAAAATGGTTTCTAAGGTGCACAGGGAGAGCAAGCAGAAAGACAGATTCAGGAGGCAAATAGGACGGAGCAAGCCTCTCCATGCTCTTCCAGCCTCCTGCTGTCTCCCTGGTCCCCTCTCATGGCATTGCCAAACAGGGGGCCAGCAGGAAGTGTGGCTTGTAATTCCAGTGCCAGCTTCACAAAGTACATTATAGAATGGCGAGTTTAAAGTTTAGAGACAGTAGTTCAATAAATGGTACAGGAAGTTATTTGAAAACAAAAATCTCAAAGTTTCTGTTTCTATTTATAGAGTTTTCTAACATGTTCACAATCTTTACTAATGTGCATGAAATGGTTCTAGAGGTCAATGAAATCAAAACAAGTATGGCAGCATTAAAATAAATTACTATCTATATTTAGTACTGAGCACTATGCTTGATAACATTTATGGATTTAATATAATATATATATATACACACACACAAATACACATTATTGACCTTTACATTACTTGATACATTTAAGTCATCTTCCATTTGACCTCTCATTTCTTGCTGGCAGAACCAATCTACCTTTATAAAGATGGAAAATACCAGGACTTTCCCCAGCCTTCCTTGCAGTTGGGCAAGGGCACATGACCTGGTCCTCACAGATGAGTTCTAATGGGCAGTCTGCTTATGAGTTGTGGGAAAAGTTTGCCCCTTAATAAAAGGAAACCCAGGGGAGGAAAGACCATTTCCCTCTTTCA